GAAGACCTCTGAGCAGCGTTGTTTCACTTCTGAAGCTTTTGGTTCAGCTGTGACAAGAGATCAATCCTCATCTGTTGGAGGAGCGGCTGGGGGATGGATTCGTGGGGCGGGGAGTTCTCCTTCCTCGCTTTGCCGCGTAGTGCTCCTGGCACAGCCTGGTTGATGATGCTTTTCCCCCTGTGTTTCAGTGCCCTGTGGAGGGGAAGGGAGGTGTTCTGCAGAAGTCCCTCCTGGGAACCAAAGTGTGGCAGCGTGGCTCTGCCTTGCGAGCTCATTAAGTGAATAAATCTCAGGGATGCTCGGTTCAGATGGGGCTCCTGCAGGGAAATTTATAAAGTCATTAAAAACATTTTAATGGAAAGTACTAACCATCTATAACATGGCATCTGTTGTCACATCTTTGGAAAAACACATCTAAATTAAGAGGATGGGAGACAGTGAGACAGACTGGTGGGCTTTCTGTGGAAACAGCCAGCTGGCCAGGGCTGTGAGGGAATATTGGTGGAAACTCCTTCCCATCTGTAGCATCAGGCCAGGCCCTGGCTCCCTGGACTGCTCTGGGAGCATCAGGCAGAGCTGTCTTTGGCAGGAGTCAGACCAGAGAGGAGTGGAGAGGGAAGAGAGAAGCAGCTCTGTGATGTTTCTATCTCATCCCTCAGCAGGTGTGAAGACATGAGAGAGGGTTTGTGGGGAAAGTATGGAGGAACATCTGCAAGGAGCTTTGACATCTCTGCACTTGCATCAGCCTGGAGAAGAGGGAGTGTCCTCTGCTGTTAAAATGGGGTGAAATGGGCAGGGCAGAGAAGGGAAATAAACTTGAGGTGATCCCACATGGCATCAGCTGCTTCATGTTCCTTCTGGGTGAGCGAAACAACTGGGTCCTGCTTCACTTTCACTGGGGTGTTTCAGCCCTGATGGACAATAAGCAGTAAGTGGCTTTGATGTGAGAATGAGTGCCAGCAGGGAAGGGGTCGGACAAAAAGGTGGTGGGCTTCTGGTACGGTGTGGTTCTCCAGTCCTCTACTTCTGACCTTGTCCCGTGGCACAGGCTTCAGGGCTGGTGCAGGAGGATTTGTAAAGTCATTGAAAGCATTTTCACTGGAAACACTGACCATCTATACTGCAGCATCTGCTGTGTCTCTGGAAAAGCCTGTCACCGTTCTGAGGCTCGGGGGCAGCCAGGCAGGCTGGTGGACCTTCTGCTGCAGCAACCAGCTGCTCAGCAACCACTTCTGCTGAGAGCTGTGCTTTGTGCTGCTGCTGCCTTGAACATGTTTTTTTGCAGCTCAGTGTCTTCCCCTTCGGACCTGCCATGGAACATCCTCCAGCCGCCCAGCTCCTATGGTGGAAACGGGGAATGCAGTGGCCCCTGCCCTGACCAGGTGTGCTGGGACTGCCACAGGCAGCATGGCAGAGCTGTTGTGGGCAGCATTTCTGCTCTTTGCCTTTCAGCCTGGTCTGGAGGTCGTTGGCTGCCTCCAACATCTCTCTCCAATTCCCCACAAGTGTGGGAAATAGCCAGCCTGGTTCTTACAGTCACATGTCCAATCCAAGGGGCAAACAGGAGCCTGAGTCCCAGGGCAGTCACGCTTTGTGCTTTTGATTTGCTGTACTTCCTCCTCCCCAAGAGCGTGGGAGGGAGTGAGGAGCTGTGGGGGGCTCTGCAGAGGGAAGACCCACAGCACCTCACTGAGCCAGGCGTTGGGTCCTTGGGTCATGGTTTTTGGCAGGGTGAAGCGGTCTCTTGGAAACCAACCAGACTGGTGGGTCCAGCAGAACATCTGCTTGGCTGAGCTGGAGAATTTTTCCATGCAGCCTTGGCTTGTCAGTGTGCTCTGTGGCCTTCAGGATGGCTGGAATGTCTTAAGCCTCACACCACAGTGGGCAGAGGTCCCCTTTGCCTCAGACCTCAGACTTGGCATGGGGAGTTTGTGCTGCTGTCCTGATTCTGCATTGTGTCCGAAACATGGGTCGTGTTGCTGAGCCCACACCGGGGCAGATGTGTCTTCCTTGGTTGTATTTACTGGTTGTATTTACTCTGATCTCTTCCATTCCAGGGGTGCTGCTTTTAACAAAGTTCAACAGCAAAATAATGCAGAGAGTTTCTCATCTTTGCCTGATGCTGTTCCCCTGCCTGCACTGGGGCTGCAAGGGTGTTTGGCTTGGCCTTGGCAGGAGGTGCATGGCAGGAGCGGCTGGGAGAGCTGCCTGTACTGCCTGCTTTGCCTCTCTCATGGGCCTGGGGTTGAAATAGAAAAACAAGAGAAAACCAAGAAGGGATTTGTTTCTGTTCCAGTCAGTGTTAGGGCATCGCAGAGAGAGGTTTGGTTGGGCAGGCAAGGTCGGGCTCAGGACAGCAGTGGGTCACAGGGTGAGGACAGCTCTGGTGGCCTTACACATCTGCCTTTCCCTCCGGAGTAGGAGGTGGCTCAGGTGATGTCTCTGAAGGAGCTACTGCTTCTGTAATTTCCAGCGGCCGCTGCTTGGCTGTGTGGAAACCTCATCCCTGTGGACAGGCCACCTTGAGTTCTGCTGCCTGGAGACTGAGGTACTGCTCTCCTTTTCCAGGTCTAGGCTGTCCAAGAGGCCAGGGTCCTCATCCCTAAGGACCTTCTCCTCCAGCCTCTCATCTGCATGTTAGCTCTGTCTGAGCGACCCTTGTGGCTAGGAGCAATTCTGACCAACAGCAGAGCCTCAGATACCACCTGGGGAGGTGTCATTTGGAGCAAGGGAGAAGTTACCACCAGGTGACCCAACTGTTGCTTTTCGGTGTGTTGCTCACAGCTGGCATCTGGCTTATAGTGAGGACCCTTTGGTCCAGGTACCAGCACTCTAAGGGATGAAAGGAGATGGCTGAGCTGGTCGCACCTGGGACTTGCAGAGAGATGGACTTGAGCCCCTGGGCAATCCTTCTCCTCCCTCTGGCCCTGCTTTTTCAGTTGTTTGGCTGCTGTAACTTGCAAACTCAGCGAAAAGATTGCTGTTATTTTTGGGAGAAGGGGTAGGACTTAATTCTTCTGCTGGGTCAGTGCTCAGTCAGGTCCCTGGGGGCCCAGCCAGAAGAAGAGGCAGGTGTAGAGAGGAGGAGGAGACCAGGGATTCCCTTGCAGGGGAGAGTGGGTTAGCTGCAGCATCACCCTGTCGCTCTGTTCCAGCCACTGTCTCACTCAAACCCCTCATGGGGACAAGGGTGAGGCAGGCAAGGACCTTGATGCCAAGGGTGATGAGCCATCAGTCCCAAGTGGTTCATGTGACTTTTGCTTTTGGTAAGACTCCTCACTGATCATTGGTTTTATTGGTCTGTTTTGTTCCAGGCTGCAGTGGCTGACATGGATTTTCTCTTCATCTGCCCCTTTCTGCTGGCACTGCTGCTGACCCGGAGCAGTTTTGCAGACCTAGAAAAACAAAGGGTAGACTCTGGGTTGGAAATCTGTATCCTCTGCAGCCTGCCCCTCGTGACCCACCTTTGCTATCGTGCCTACTGAGGCTGGAGGGAGCTTATGCTTAGGGAAAGTTTCAGAGATCACAGAAAGGGGCACAAGGGAGTGGAAAAGAGAAGATCCAGAAGGACTGGGAAATTGCTGCTTTGCTTTTCTGTAGGAGGACTTTAGCCAAGCTTCTGTGTTTGCTAACCAAGCACCTGGCTTGGTGCAGGAGCAGAAATGGCAGCAGTGCCTGGTGTTCTCCTGCCTTTCCTTTCTGCTCTGTTGTGCTGAGCATTGAGCGCATTTCCCAGTCTCCTTTCGGAAGTGGCATGGCCAGCTGGGTGGCAGAGCACACTTGTGGGTCTCAGTGCTTTAGGGTCACCAACTGGGATGGTGGAAGAGTGGGTTTGTGGCACTTGGTCTCCTCTGTACCCATTTATTTATTGCCCATGAGGTGGTAGACTAATGCAAGCCCTTCTTATCATGCAACAGCATCCCCTGGTGAACGGGCAAAGTATGAAAAGATATTTAGTATGTGGAGACACATATGGGGCAAGTGGGAGTTCATATTCCTACTCCAACCCATCAGCCAGAGCAAGGGATGGCAAATAGAAAGCTCCCCACAAACTCTCAGCATTGTTAAGGGCCCTGCTGGAGTGTCCGGGCAAGGGGCTTACTGGAAATCCGTGTTTCATCCTGGCTCAGGCACTGCCTCCCAGCATCAGGCTCCCTGTGGAGAACTGGGGAGGGCTGGGAAGGTGCTGGCTGCCTGGTGGAGGGGGAGAGTGGGAGTGTGGTGGGAGAGTGCTGACAGTGCCCTTGACAGTGGTGCAGATAAGAAGCTGTTTGAGGTGAAGCGCAAGGACCAGATGAATGCGCTGAAGAACCTGATTGAGCTCAATGACGTCAACCAGCAGTACAAAATCATTGACATCATGCTCAAGGGACTCTTTAAGGTGAGCCACAGTGCAAGCTGCAGTCCATGAGACTGGGAATGGTGGCAGAAGTGGGGAGGGCTGGGGGGCCTCCATGGGGTCAAAGAGAAAAGCTGTGTGACAGGTGAGCTTTAGGACCTGAAGGGAGGATGCCATGGGGCTTCGGAGTGGGGCAGCTGGGTCAGCTCCCTCAGGGTACAGGGAAAGGCTGGTGGGACAGCGCAGTAACCAAGGGCTCTGGCAGGTGCTGGAGGACTCCCGTGCTGTGCTCATTGCTGCCGATGTGCCTCCTGACGGGCCTTTCCCTCAGGACGAGAAGATAAAGGATGGTAGGTCCTCTCTGGTCCTTACCCCCTCTCCCTTTTCTAGTCCTCTGATGCATCACAGGCACTCCTCCTGGGACTGACACTGGGGTAGGTACAAACCCCACGTGTATCCAGACCAGACCTGGCCTGGTCCCTGTCTGTCAGGGACCCTATTGTTGCCTCTCTGACCAGTTTGTACTGGGGAGCCTACCCATTTGCCCTCAGCCTCCCCACCTCCTGTTGGGGACGTAGGTGCCAGTGGGATGGGTCAGATGTGCCAACAGGCTGTCCCCACAGCATACTCCCACGTGGTGGAGAACACTGCCTTCTTCGGGGACGTCGTCCTGCGCTTCCCCAAGATTGTGCACCACTACTTCGACCGCAACTCCCCTCACCCGCTGGGGCATCGGCTTCTGCAACCTGACGGGTGTGTTCGAGCAGGGACCCCACTCCCAGGTCCTGCGGCTGGTACGGCTCTTGGTCCCCCCTGCCCTCTGTTGCTAGGCTGGGGGGTGAGGTTTTTGGGGAAAAAGGAGGGCAGGGGGAGAGTGCCCCATGTCTGAGGGCTGTCCTTGGGCTGAGGGATGGGGGAAGAGCAGACGGGGCTGGTGGGGAGAGGGGTCCTAGTCACAGTTAGGGGGGAGTGCAACTGGGTGACGCCGCTCCCGACGCGGTCTCTGCTTTGCCCTGCAGATGGCTCAGGAGCTGGGAATCAGCGAGAAGTCGCCCGATTACCGCAATCCCTTTAAAACGGACCACTCAGAGGTAAGACAGCAGCACTGCCAGCTCACCTAATGGGCTTCCCTGTCTCTATCACAGCTCCAGGCTGCCGGCTAGGGAAGGGAATAGGGGTGGCTTGTGGGAGAATGGCAAAAAATCCCTGTCACTGAGGAAGCGTGGCCAAAACACACACATTGAATTCCCCAGCTGAGCTGTGGTCAGCTTCGGGCACCTGGTGCCATCTCTCTTCTCCTATGGCCCCATGGTCTCCTCCTGCCCCATTGTCGAGACCCTGTGTGCTTTGTGTGACATCCATCCTCAAGCACTCTGTCCCTTGTGTGATGGCTTGGGTGGGTTTGGAGGGTTATGCCTCTGGGAGGCTGTGGGGGCTCCCCCATGCTGACCCTTTGCTGTCAACCCACAGTTTTTCCCCAGTGCCGACACCTTTCAGAAGGCGCTGCGGGAGGAGGAGAAGAGGAGGAAGAAGGAGGAGAAGCGGAAGGAGATCCGCAAGGGCCCGCGCATCTCCCGCTCACAGTCGGAGCTGTAGCGCACGGGGACTTGCAACTTGCAGTGGGGGTGACACCACTAGGACGTAGAGTGGCTCGCTCCCTGTCGGCAGCCATGGGCCAGTGCCTGGCAGTCGCCTTTCCGTTTGTGCTGTGGGTTTTGTTTTGTTGCCTTTCCCCTTTATTCAGTGAAGGTTGGGCGGTGGTGCTGGTGGGTTGCCCCAATGGGGCTGAAGTGGGGTAACCCCTTCCCCAGAGGTAAAGCACAGACAGGAAAGCGGTGGGGCCATCCCCTGGACTGGTCAGGGTGCTGCTCCCTGTGGGGAAGTAGAATGTGGGGGACACGCTGTGCTCGAGCCCTGCAGAAAGCCCAGGGATCCCTCCCCTCCACAGCACACCCCACGCTGAATGTGCCTCCTCTGTCATGGGTGGGCTGGGGATTGCGTCACACCAAACAGCCTCATGAGCAATGCTGCTTCTCTCAGTTTTGTTTTTTGTTTTGTTAAACCGCTGATCTCATTGGCACCCCCCACCCGGTTATACCTGGTCTCTGCACAGACACTACCTCTGCTGGATCAGCTCTCCCTCCACAGCACACCCCACGCTGAATGTGCCTCCTCTGTCATGGGTGGGCTGGGGATTGCGTCACACCAAACAGCCTCATGAGCAATGCTGCTTCTCTCAGTTTTGTTTTTTGTTTTGTTAAACCGCTGATCTCATTGGCACCCCCCACCCGGTTATACCTGGTCTCTGCACAGACACTACCTCTGCTGGATCAGCTCTCCTCCCAGCGCAGCGGCTGGTTTACCAAGCAACATGCGGTTCCAGGGTCCGATGCAGCC